CACAACACATTACCCATGCTCAGAAAACAGTGATATTCCATAGCCTGAGGTTTTATGTCTCCCACCTCTGCTGGGCACGTTTCAAAGTTATGCAGTAGAACAGAGTGAACTGCTTCTCGGTACACGGCAATTATAATAAGCAATTTGATACTACACTAGTGCCATAAATGGCCTAATTTGGCAAAAGCCAAGTGAGCCGTTTTGTCCATGGAGAGATTTCGTTGATCTATGATCCATTTTAACTAATCTGACTTTCTAAACAAGTTAAGTGATCAATGCGCTGAATCACTTTACTCCCTACCGCTGGACGAGGCAGCAATAAAGACCAGTCCTTGAGCAACAATATCCATTTGGGTGTCGAGAAACGCATCCCAAAACTTCTCAAGTTATTATTCAATCTGTTCAGAAACTACATCTTGTCACTATCACCTAACAAGACTATGTCACCTGTGTACTTTAGGTCCACTAAGAAGTCTCCTGTAAAAGCAGATTAGGAGAAAAGGAGTTATGTAAGCACGTCTGTGATAAGGTTAAATAAGAATGGAGAGAGTAGACACCCTTGACGTTTACAACTGACCAGATACCTCACTGCAAACCCTACCAAGCCCGAGGATATACACGTACAGAGCCTTCAACAGAGCGATGTACTTACTTGGAGCCCCTTTCAATGGAACACTGCCATAAGGCACCTCCATCGACAGGTTCGAATGCCGCCTACAGACGGAGAAATAGCTAGGGCCAGGTATCTGTAAGTGTGCTTGTGTTTCAGAACCTAATGGAGAGTGAATATTTGGTCCATGCACCCATTACCAAATCTGAAGCCTGCTTGGTTTTCTCGAGTTTACTGCTCCCCAGCTTCACTTAGGCGTCGAATGACTATTGAACTCAGAATTGTCGACATTATGTTCTTTAGGCTGATTCCTCTGTCTTTATCTCAGGAGGATTTCCCTCCGTCGAATACTGGGCTAATCAGTGACTGAGATCAATCAGAGAGGATTATATTTGACTTCCGAATGTGACCTAACACTTCAGTCAACCTTAACCAATGCACGACCACCGTCCTTAGATACCTTTGGTACCAGCTTATCAGGACCCGGTACCCCTTCTTGTTTTACGTTGCTTACAGTTTTTTAAAATTCTACCATAGTTGGAGGATCTATCTTCGTATTCTTTTCAAGATTTGACTGGATAGCGGGCGACTGGGGACTACCTGGAGGTTAAACCCGATCAGCAGCTGCTACCTTAATGTGGTGGTCAGGCTTGCACATCACAATAACCCAACAAGCTATGCTGGTGGAACGTTTGTTCTCTTGAGGTTCTACCACGCCAGAAAGATCTGTCGGGTAGTGATAAGACGAAAAGCAGCTACCATTTTATTGCAGATTACTACACTATGATAGGGGTCTGAGGGCAAAGTCGTACTGCTTCTAGCTGGATCGGGTGTGACAGTGGTATGTTGTTCCCTCCAGATGACCGGTAGTACCACGCTGATACTGCCTTGTCAGCGGAAGAGGGGTTAGAAAAGATTAACCCCAGAAATAGCACGCTCCACGGTGCCCCATGGTCTTCTCGTGCCGGTGGTATGGGTTTCCTCTATCCGGCATTAGAACCCACACAGCCCACAAAAAGCTGTGTGTGACATGCCTCAGGAAAATGTCCATTGTTTCTGCGGTCACACAGACCTTTTTCTCTTTCAGTACCTTAAGAAAAAATAGCCTTCCGCGGTATGGACAGCCGACACGCACGCACGCTTCCAGCAGTACACAAAACGCAATCGAACATTACCTATCCTCCTCAACCCTGTCTCCTCCTTTAACTTCGCCTTCTTACACTAATAATGGGCTTCTTACGCCTTACCCAAAGTCTCACTCTGAAACCATTGTCAACAATGAAAGCCATCGAAACCTCATTCCTAGTCTCCTAAGGCCCCACCATCGATTTCATGTAGAAGCTTTCAATATCCGAACTCTGTGCCGAGTCGGAAAGCAAGCATCGCTCGCCAAAACTCTAGAATTTCTAGCTATGGATACGTACTGTCTCTGAGGCACATATACAGGAGTCGAGTGTGGTTCATAAATTAACCTCTCCTGGCCATAGTGGTGAATCCTCAAAATTCACCTTAAGAGTGAGCGGAGGCCTGACGTCTAGCTCTCATGAATTCGCTGCTCCAGACATAGCACTGAGTTGTAGAACAGAAAGTGCGTTTCTCATCTGGATACCAATAAACAGCCACTTATTTACTGTTCGACTGAATAGATCTGTAAGGACTGAAAAGGATCGCGAGACTAGTCGATGCCTATTTGTAATCTCCGCCTACGCACCCACCGACTGTAGCTCGGATGATGCAAAGGATGAATTCTATGAGAAGCTCTCAAATTTTCTACAGAAATTAAAACGTTCAGATGTAACCATAATGGCAGGTGACTTTAACGCTCAAGTATGGTAGTCAGGCAAATTGGTGAGGCATCTGAAAGGTATTTAAAGTATTCCATTCCAATAAACCGACAGCGGTGACCATCTGTTGCAGTTTGCTCCGACAATCACTTGTTTCTGACCAGAAGTAACTTTAGGTATAAGGAGAGACACTGTCTCACTTGGCATCCGCCGACTTCAAACCAACAATGGACACAGATAAGTCACATTGCTATAAACCATCTGTGGAGGATTGCCGCTCTTTCTGGAGTACCAGTTCGAACTCCGATCACGCACTAGTATGGATTCATGTATGTCTGCTCCTTACCGGTCACAGGAAACATCCAATAGTAAAGCCTGTCTATGGCCGATTAGAAGATGAGAACGTCAAGTCCGAATTTAGGGAAGACATAGCCAAGCATTTATCTAAACAAGACTGGAATGCTCATCCTGAGGAAATCTGGCGTGATATTAAGTCTGCTGTAGAAACAGCGGTAAAGATAATTGGTAACCTACACCCGATGGTTAGCAAATGTCATTGGAATTCCGCGGCGTCGTTCGAAATTATTGACGCCAAAAGACTGATCCCGACTGGATCTGACCACGATGAAGAGCGAAATCAAATGAGACGTAAGTTGACTAAGAGTCGACCGCGAGCAGTGATGAGTGGCGAAAGCGAGAGAGATGGAGAAGGTATCAGCGGTAAGTAACACTCGGCAACTACTGGCAAGAAGGGGACGATGGTGAGTGAAACCACCACCGAAAAGGATGGAACGCTGATAACCTCCCAGGATAAGTGGCTAGGACGTCAGACAGAACACTTTGAAGCACAGTTCAACTAACCCTCAGCCACGCTTCAGTTACCCGACATCCAGCTTGAACATGTATGAAACGTAGATATCAGTTCTTTAACTCTCCTTGAAGTGGATAAGGCTGTATCGAACCGGAAACGATGCAAAGCGTCAGGATCCGACAGTTTGCCACCTGAAGTTTTCAAGGATGGAGGTAGTAAGTTGCCAATTAGTGGTGGAGGTACTAAATAGTGTATGGGAATCAGAGGTGATTCCGTCATACTGGTGTACTTCACTGATCATCCCAGTCTCCAGACGGCGGAGGACTCTTCGTGTGACAATCACAGGGGAATTAGTTTGACTAATATCATGTCCAAAATCCTAGGCTCTAAGTTATCTGGCGCCCAAATGCAGCTCGAGAAAACCAGGCAGGTTTCAGATCTGGACTAGGGTGCATCGGTTACTTTCTACCCTACGATAGGTTTTGAAATACAGGGATACCTACTGGTCACTAGCCAACATTTGCCATATTTCTTGATGTGAAGGCAGGTGGAATTCGACTCAGTCGACCATGAGGTGTGACAGTATCTGACAGTGAAAGAATTACTGAACAAGTATATAACGCAAATCAAAGCTTTCTACTCGTACTCACTCAGCCATCTTAGGACTTATGGAGAGTTGTCATGTGAACTGATGACAACTAGAAGCGTCCGTAAAAGATGCCCACTGTCACCGTTCCTGTATACTTCCGTCATAGACGTACGAATGGACATAACCTTAAGTACGTCTGATTTCACATGGACTGACCTACACCCTGGAGGTCATCTGGTTGGCTTGGAGTACACAGGTGATATCGTGAGATGATGATTTTTTACGCAGCTCTGTTTTACTTTCAAAAATCTTGACTCCTACTTAGGATGAAGCTTCATAGAGAAACCAAATCTAAGAGTCCACTCGACTCTAACAACAGTTCCACCTGGTATCCTTCAGTTAAAATAAACTGTTATATGTTTCACTAATAAATAAAAGTATCGCTTAACCAAAATCAATTTTATAATTATCGCCAACCTGTGAAAAGAATAATAAACGTCAGCCTCATCGTTCCCAATCGTTAACCAGTTTATTTTATAGATTTCATATAAACACTTAAAGCTTTACCTATTGCTTTACTGCCGGCTTGTAATATGGTCCTATTTCTGGATTCTGTTTCCAGTACTGATTTTAGGAAAATCATTTTTCGACTTTTCTGAATACAAAATGGACACAGATTTGTGTTTTGGATTAAAAATATTGTAAAATCTAGTCATGAATGTATCCGTTTTTCGTAAAATCCTGTCAGTCACTGGGTTGTTAATGAAAAGTATGTCGTAAATACTTTCCAGTCTAGTTTATACTGTTTGTGATCATTTTGATCCATTATCACATCGATATTATTCTGATACATTGTGTTTCAGCACTACTCTTAGCGTAAGACATATTTCTGTTTAATACTAAGTGGTGATTGAAGGTGAAATGAAATTCTGGACTGTGTCAGGATTTCAACCAACCACCTCCAACCCAGACTTTCATTTCACCTACAATCATCACGCAGTATCAATACAAGTTTGCCAAACTATGATTATCTCAGATAGTCAGTATAGTTGTTACTTCTACCCCTTAACTATAATGTTTATTTGAAGCTTATCAGTATAAGTTGTAAATTTAAAAAGCTAACTTACAATTATGAAAAATACTCTAACAGTATTGTACAATAACGAAATGATTTGTTTTGTTTTCAGATTATCTATCTATTATTAAATGACCACAGCAGGGAGACCAACATGGGATAATGCCAAAGGTGGTAGAGGGAAATGGGAAGGTGATTTAAGTGCTTTATCGAAACAGTACTCTGTTCGTGATTTACCGGCACATACAAAATTAAAAGTACGCCAAGAAGGCCAGGGAAGACCTGAAGATATTCAGGGTAAAGATTTTAAACGTGCTTTGGAGGAGAAAGAAAAACGTTTAACTCAAGAAAAATCAGGAAAAAGTAAGAGCTGTTTGCTTTGTAAAATAAGTGATAGGCATATTTGTACACTTTAAAAATAAAAAAAACTAGTTTACAGCTATTCACATATTATCTTAAACTGACAGATAAATGTAATACAAAACAATGAGTATGCGTGGTCTTATTAAAAAGCCAACAACAAATCAGCTAGTCTATGAATTATATCTGCTAGTTTGTACTATAATGTAGGTTTTATGTTTAACCTTCACGAGGCAGCTAAAAGTTAACTTTTGAAAACCTTGAAACCAGTCACAGTTAAGCATGTTGCCTCCTAATTCTTCAACATATTATTAATCTTTTTGTTTCGTATTAACATCAGCTTAGTCGATTCCATCCTTTTTGTTTCGGTGCCAAAATTGTAGCAGGTTGTACATTGTCTCTATCTGCTATGACTCATTGATGTTGGCAGTTGAATCAACCAGCTACACTAGCTGGAATACTTATTCCTTGAGGTTCGTCCATGACACAAAAGGCTGTTGGGCGGTGATAATATGGAAGGCAGTTACCGCTATAGTGTAAGTTGCTACACTATGATAGGAGGTTTTCAAGACGAAGTTGTACTTCTGGCTGAGTGAGATGTGACAACAGTTAAGTGTTCATCAAGAGTGATCATCAGGTGCTCTATTCCCTATTGGGAGGCGGCCGTTATAAAATTTTGGCCGTAAAGAGCCAACCTCTCTCTATCCTCCGGTCTTCCGGTCACAACAACCTAATGTCGAACCAGCTATGTGTGACAGGTCTCAAGCAGATGTCCCATGATCTCTGCGGTTACAAATCTTTTCGTTTTTATCTTTCAGGTACTCTTCAGAATTATTTCACGGTGTGGGCAGCCGTGAAACGCCGACCGCAAGCCCACCGCCAGTAGCCTGCAAAACCCAATAAAACAACACAACTTTTGATTTCTCCCTTGCCTTCACTTCGAGATACGAAGACTAAGCCTAATAGAACTTCATCAACCTCTCACTCTGAAGTCTCCTAAAACCCAGCTGTCGGCTTCACATTGGAGCTTTAAACGTCCGAACCTTATGCCAAATCGGACAGCAGGCATCTCTTATCGAGATTCTAGAATCGCGAGCCATGAATGTATGCTGTATTTCTGAGACACGTATAAACGACCCGACTGTAGAGATTTACTTAATCTCACCTGGCCAATTTTGTGAGTCTTCAAAACTCACCTGATGAGTGTCCAGAGATTCGGTGGCTAGCTCTCGTGAACTCTCCGGTGTAGGCTTAGCACTTAGTTCTCGAGTAGAAAGCAGACTTCTTGATTGGATACTAATCAACAACACCTGCCTGCTACCCAACTGAATGGATCTGTAAAAGCTTGGGAGGATCGTGAGACTAATCGATACCTGTTGATAATCTCCACCTGCGCCCCCCACCGACTGCTGTTCGGATGGTGCAAAAGATGAACTTAAATCAAAACTTGTCAATTTCGCTACATAATGCAAAACGTTTAGAAATAGTCAGTTACAGGCGACTTCAAAGTCCAATTTGGAAAGCCGAGCCAATCTGTAAAATGATCTTTGGGATATCTACAGTATTCTACACCAACGGACCAAAAAGCCTGGTCCTCTCTTACAACTTTTTTGACAAGCACTTGCTTCTAACCAGCACTAACTTCAAGCATTAGGAGGTACACTGTCTCACTTGGTATCATCAAACCAGCAGTGGACACACATAGACCATACTGCTATATGCCAAAGTCGGAAAGGGTCGGTGGAGGATTGCTACTGTTTTTGGAGTAGCTGCTTAAAAACTTACTTGATAGTAAGGTTCGTGTATGTTTAAGCTTTAACAGACGTAGGAAACAGAAAGCAGTGAAGTTTCTATGCACTAGACTGGAAGATAAGAACACTAAGTGTGTATTTAGGGAGAGGGAAGTAACTAAGCCTTTGTGTAAACATGGCAGCAAATCCCTTGCTGATGAATACTGGTGTAATATTCAGTGCGTTGTAGAAACAGCAATAAAGACAGTTGCTAACTTACATCTGAAGGTTAGAAAAATCCAGTGGATTTCCTCAACCTCGTCCGAACTGATGGATGCCAGAATACTCATTCCAACTGACTCTGACCACAATGTTAAGTGAGAGTAGATGAAGCGTAAATTGACTTAGAGTTTTCGCAATGATTGCGTGAAATGATGGGTGGCAAAAGTGAGGAAGATGGCGAAATCTTTAGCACTAGGTAATATATGGCAATTATTTAGGCATAGATGTCGGTCCACAACTCCCCTCAACGTTAAGAAGACGTTTTCGAAGCAATGCAGTGCGGTAGGACTTGACAGTTTATTATCAAAGGTTTTTTAGGAAAGGGGTAAAAAATTACCGAGTGGAGTAACGGAGGTGCTAGGTAGTCTTTGGAAATCAGTAGTATTCCCGTCAGAGTGGTCTACTTAACTGATCATCCCAGTCTACCAAAAGGGAAAAAATCTTGTGACAGCCACTGAGTAATTAGTTTGACCGAAGTCGTATCCAAGATCCTAGGATCCATAGTTATCTGTCGCTCAAGCGGAGCACAAGAACAGCAAACTCGAGAAAATAAATCAGTTTTCATGCCTGAAAGAGGATGTATCGACCAAATTTCACCCTTCAACAGGCTCTGAAACACCGGCATACTTTTAGGCATTCGATACTTACTATATTTTCTTAACGTGAAGGCGGCATTCGACTCTTTCAGCCGACAGGTGTTCTGCCATTGTCTAACTGTGAAAAGTGTCGAGCGAGTATGTACTAAACGCTAATCGAAGCTCTTTACTCTGAATCATGCAGCTGCATAGTAGCTTATAGAGAGTTGTCATTTGAATTGAAAACCACTAGTGACCTCTGCCAAGAATGGCCGCTATCATGGTTTGTGTCTAACTTCGTTACATACGTAATAGTTCTCATTATCGTAGGTATCTCTGACTTCACAGGGATTGATCTACCCTCAAGAGTTGACTTGGAGTATGCATTTGACATTTTTTTGCTAGAGGAAGCTAGACAAGATACTGAGTATTTTAAACTCTTTGAACATAAAACTAAGCATGCTTTGCATGAGTTTCTCACCTGTGAAATGTAAGATGATGCTTCAGGACTGGTCTACAGCTACTCTCAGTATAAGGATAGAAAGTCAAGTGGTAGAGTTCGTTTACCACTTCACTTGGGAGTTGCATCAGCCTGAATGGGTTGGTTGCTGACAAGATCTCAGGTAGAATACATAAAGCTCGTTTGGTGTTTGTCAAGTATACTACGCTGCAGTCCCTCCTATCCTGTTATACGGCTATAAGACGTGGCCGTTAAAAGTTGAAAATATGAAGAGACCATAGATGTCTTCTATTCATTGCTCACATATGGTGGAATCACTATATGAATAATGTTGAGGTTAAGCGAAGGGTACTAGGCTAAACAGACAAGTTGGTCGATGAGATTGTAAACGTTTAACGACTGAAATGGTTTGAACATGTGATGTGCATGCCAAGTCGCTACCTACATCGACCTCCCATACTAGAGGAAGTTAGATCAGGTTGGAAGAGGGTTTAGGGGGACCAAATGAAGACGTGGTACTAGTCCATGAAGTTTCTGACTATTGATCTAAGCGTTGTAGAGAGGGGTCTCCGAGACGATAGGAATCGGTGTTTAGTGACTCTTGGTAGGGTGGCTGATGTATTCACTACTTGATCTCTCCTATAACTTGAACATTTTCACTAACCCTGACTTTGAAACTTCTCCTCCTATACATCTTTTCCTACTTTGATATCAATGTTTTTCTGTTCACTTTTTCTTTATATGCGCTACTGTGAAGTGCAACAACAGACCGATATACTCCTGTGTTGAGGTTCGACGTTGATTTTGTCTATCTGAGCAAGTATTATAAGGTCTAATATACTAAATGTAGCTAACAACCTGGTATACAAAGTTGTACATAGTAATTGGGTTGTATTGTTATTATTCTATTCCACTATTGTAAGCTGAAAGTTATGAGTAACTAATTACTTAACATTTCTGGTGTTTTCAACCATTAACTTCTACTAGTAGAAATCATTACTCATGGTGTACAAATCGCTTGAAGGGGAAGCGTCAATAAATAAACGTTTTTATTTTTATATTATGAATTTATTAGAGGTTAAAACGATTGTAGCATCAGGATATTGCATATGAAGGAACCCACATAGTCTATGAAGCAACTGCATAACACTTTCCAACTATATAAAATCAGGCTATTAACAGATAAATAATTTGATGAGATTACATACATTTGATCATCAACATTTTCATAACACTGTCCAACTACACTATCTGATGAATTCCTATCAGTATCTGTGGTAAATCATTTAAAATTCAAATTATGTTAAGTTTATATTTTCTTATTCCGTCTTCATTACTTTCTGCTACTTTTAATGACATATTTTTCTATTTCTCTATTCTTCATCACGGTATCTTGTATTTCGATGCATTAATATGAGGTGCGCCGACTTAGATGATTACTCAGTAATTATTGTAGTGGGTGCTACTGATAAGGATGGATATAAGTAGTATATGTTAAGAGGTCGGCAGAAGTCATAGGAAATTACCGGCGATGGATAAATATTCTTCAAAGAGAAGCCCAAGAGACAATGTGGGCGTATAAAAGAGCAAGTCGAGATAGAAGCAGAAATGAAGCTCATGTGCAAATGACGATTTTAATGGAAAGTGTACAATACTTCATCACTACTATACAAAATGTCATGATAAATATTCCTTTCTGCGTCGTTTCTTACAATACAACACCAGATCCTATGCTTATACTGATTGACTTAACTGAGATCAGTAGACAACAACTTCGTAGATTTTTACGTTGACATTCTTTCTAACCAGTTATCACAAAGCAATTTTGCGCACTGAGGTAGGTAGGCGTTGGTTAGGTATTCGTTAAGTTATATCTCAGTCACTTCAGTTAGTGTAATTCTGCGACTTTCTTCACTGATTATTCACATTCAGTGTCTGGAGTTAATTTCAACCTCAACATTCAGCAATTAGTGATTCCACTAACAAAGAATACTGCTTTGTTGATCATGTCTCACATCTGTATTCATACTGAGATGATGTCAGTGATAGAATGCTCTATAACCGATGCAACTCTACATGTAAGCCAACTGGTCAATTACTTCAACCACAGTGAGCCTTGTTAACAACTTAGTTTCCTACGTGGGCCAATGTTTAGATACCAGTTCACATCATTATTAGATATCTGCCGACTATATTTTTCCAGAGACTTAATGTTTCCTCATGTTATTGCCTGTAATGTTCTGTTGCCGACTGAACCGAATTGATGAGTCTTTACTGGCATATGGGCTCCTGTGCGGTTGCCTCAACATTCCTTGCAGGTTCAGTTTGGTAGTACTTATGGATAATGTCTAGCAGTAAAGTCCAGAATGCGCGATTTGTCTTGTTTCGGGACTCGTCAGTTGGCTATCGTGACTTGGTGAGTAACCCTCTGATGTTTGAAGCGTTTGGATCCTGAGTTTTTGAGTCTTGGTGACGAGACAGGTAAATCGAGATGATGAATCCCAAACAGGACAAAACGTGCGTTCTGAATTCTATCGCTAGTTACTATCCTCCATCATTATCAGACCATATTTTTGGTGTTATATTTTAAGGATCAATTAGTAAGAAGCCTCGAACTTGTAGTTCATGCTTGTTAGCTGTGTATGCAACCTTGAAGAAATTCACATTTCTTCAGAGATTCAAACCCACATCTTTCAAAAGTAAAATCAGAAAAAAATCCTACTAAACTATGCAGTCTACTACTGACCTATAAAACTGAAGTGTGCACTAATTGGTCCTGAAATCGTAACCGATGTTAGTTTCAACTCCTGACTTGAATAGCTTCGTAATTAAGTATCTAACTTCAGCAATAAAGTATGTAGGCTCGAATCTCTGAGGAGTATTGGTTAGTTCAGTGTTACACAAGTGCCTTATTGTTATTTGCCAGCAAACCTACATCTATGGTTTCCTTTTTACCTACCCCTAACATGTAACTGTAAAATATAGTTCACTGCATTATCTCATCACTTAGCTCAATGGTCTCATCGTAAACCTTTTAAGTTTGTTTCGATCAGTGCTGATCACTTAGAACTTAACATCTACATCGACTATCATCCAACGACCAATTCTTCATCTTTCTCAGGAAGTCTTTCTGTAGGAAATCTGTTACAGATGCTAAAAGCGAAACATAGTACCGTCGTCATTATTTCTGAGACGAAGGTGGATAAATAAAATTGCTCTGGTTACTATGAAGAATTGTTAGTAAGATAATATGTTCGTTAGGCATCTCAACGAGGAATGTGCTTACCAATTCAACGAAGTTGCCTACCAAATCGAAGTTAAGGAATATGACCATTATCTAACACTTGTAAGTATGTGTGTTTCAACACCTTTTAAAGGGGGAAGATTTTTTCAATGTACGTTGAATTATACGTCAGATCTGTTTCCTCTCATCATGTTTACCTATTTAGAACTTCACTCAGATGTCAAGTAATTGTGAACCCTAGAATTTTAGAAATCACGATAGTCTGTTATATTCCTCTATGGTTATAAAAAGAAGGATTCCTCTTACTTCTTCCAAAAAATAAAAAAACAGCAATGAGCGAAATTTATGAGGACTGATGATACTGCCTGGTCGTTGAAACGTCGTCAGTAAGTAAAGCAGGCTTGAAACCGGTGACCTAATAATTCAAAGTTGAACACATAGATCAATGAACTACATCAGTATAACATGTTAGGCTGATTGAGTTATCAGTGATAGCATGAGAGTCAAAGTCAATTTATAACCATAAAGAGCAGTATAAACTCCATTACATTTGATTCCTGTGCTACAACTGAAACCTCAGTCAATCTAACATATCATTCTGAATCACTATTCCTAGAGATTTCTCGAGGTAGATCGTCTGTCTTGTGGCATCTTACTCATCTGAAGTCATTTGTTTTATTGAGCGTACTAAGTGTCCTATGCTTATGGAGACATACTTCCATCTGCTTGCGTTTTATATTAGTCCACTATACTCAGCGTATTAGTATTATACTTCAAAGCCTACAAACTATCCAGTAGATAATAGACAGTTTCGTGCCTTCATCTTCAATGCTAATCGAGATCTAAAAATACTAAGTGGGTTAAGTAACCGAGGGAAATAATGCGAAATACACTAACGATATTAACCCAATGAGACACTTGGACTGCATATGAATAGCGACTGTTTTCCTTCAATACCTTATAATTCACTGACGTACAGAAGTAGTCGAGATAAAGACGGCTGTGACTAAGAAAGACTATTTATTCAACAAAATTACGTCGTTTATATACGATTTCCATGACAATAAAACTACGTGGTCAAAAGTTAAATAACTTATTTTGATTGTATTTTTGAGATGAATGGGGATTTTTAATGTTGAAGTAGCATTCATCATGGACTGACATCAGTTGGGGAACCATTGGAAACCTGAGAGCACTGGACAGCTGTTTCGTCCTAGTATGGGACTCCTCAGCAGTACACGCTCACGACCCGGCTAGGGATCGGACTCAGGACCTTCGGGTTTCACGGCAAATGCGTTAACCATTCAGCCACTGGGTCGGTTTCCAGTGGTTCACAATTCTTAACTTCTGTCAATTCACGACATAGCGCGACTGTCACCCAAGGTCTTCAGTTAGCATCCACTTTACTTCCGACTGGTTGACCCCACAGGTCACGGATTCCTCATTAGAACTTCCTAACATCCATCTGGAAGCAAGTCACTAATGTGCACCATAGAGTAATGTATTTTTGAGATGAATGGGGATTTTTAATTTAGAAGTAGTATTCATCATGGACTGATTGGTCAAGTGTAGGATAAAATTGTCCAATAAGATTTGTTCTGACCACACGTCGAGATGGAAAGGAAAAAAATTGGAACGCAAAAACTCCAGCCTGATTGGTTGATGAATTAAAATGCTGATTTTCATTTAGGCTACTTCCTATCCGTTGGTTACTGAATCGTACTGTAATTCTGACTCAATACGATATAAGTATTGAATAGTAAACCTATGCGTGTACTATTTGTTGCATTATTTATACAAGAGTTACTTGCAGACTGTAATCGCAACGAAAGCAATACTTTTTTGATAAGCTTATAGTTTATTCCTCTAGGCATCGAACTTATAAGTGGTGGGCTCATTCATATGATGATAATTTTCATATTATAGATCATAGTTATTATCTCAGTGTAATTTGAAAATGATATTGATAACCAATGTGAATTCTTTGACATGATTTCTTTTTTCTCTTAGAAAACTCCGTCTTAGAATGAGATGTATCTACCACAAAAAATTTTCTCTTCTGGATAATTTTGTTCGTGTTTCTTTCTTTTAAATACAACAATATTATTTGGAAGCAAAGTGTCGTAAATTGACGGAAATTATGAATATGGACAATTGGATTCCCACCCAATGGGTCGATGGTAACGTGTTGACCACTGAACTTGAAAGTCCCGAGTTCGATCCTTAGCGGAGCGGGGTCATGGGTGTACACTGATGAGGAGTCCTATACTAGGACGAAACAGCTGTCTATGTTTCCTCCAGCTGATGTCAGTCCATGATGAGTACACCAACTTGAAATCGATCAACAACTCCCTATACATCCCCGAATTCAGTTTCTAAAGTTGTTAATTATGGCTTTCATGGTAAATGGAGTTGAATTTCTTGAATTTAGGCACTCGGTTTTTTAATTAATGGTTCATGAGTTTAAATCTCGCTCTGCCCACCGAGGTTCGGGTAACAAGTTAGTATACCAACTTGTATACAATAGGTAGGATCATTACCTGATGCATAGGTCCGCATGTGGTTGTTGAGTTACGTTATGTTCGATAAAAGCTTTATCAAATCGAAGTAATGAAAATCCTGCTATATTTATCATTTTCGTCTTAATGATGCGTTTTTTTTCTGTATTCCCCCCCCCCCACACACACACACACACAATCATTATCTAATCTAGCCTCCATAAATGCTACTAGTCAACAACCAGCAATTACTAGTGCCAAACGGCCTAGTTCTGCTGCTATCATGCCAACGATGGATAGTAATACTATTGGCAGCATAAAACGTGCTCGAGCTGATACAGCTACTACTAATATTGTCCCGACAACAAATTTAGACGCTGATGATCCATGGGATGAAGACTATGATGAAGATCAAGATGATGTGATCATCGCTAAGAAATCGGTCAAGAATAAAACAAAACACTCATCTGATGATAAAAATTATCAAAATGACAATAATGGAAATGATGATGACGATGATGATAGTGACAATGATAACAATGCCGAGATGATGATGATGATGACGACGAAGAAGATGAAGAAATGTTATTAGCTGAGTTGGCAAAAATAAAACGTGAAAGAGCTGAAGAAGCAGCTCGTCAAGCTGCTGAAAGAAAGGCGGCTGAAGAAACTATTCGTATGGAAAATATTCTAAAAGGAAATCCTCTCTTAAACTCAGCAAATGCTTCAGGTCAGTGTATTAGATTTATATGATTAAGTCATTTATTTATTCAAGCATAGTATAATTGGCCAGCTACAGTCCAAATTTTTGGACTGTGTAGCTCGGTTGATAAAGCGTCGGACCGGAAACCCCAGTGTTCGATGGTTAGAATCCGGCCGCGATCCAAAATTTCATTTCACCCTTCAAACATCACCTAGTATAATTGGAAATAATAAAAAATGGTAGGAATTGTCAGTCTTTACTTTAACTGAATGGTCACCTCATTGTATACAGTATTGTTACTGAACCATTGATAGGTGGTGAATCTTGGATTTAGACTCTGCCACTAACAGGATTACTAACTTGTTGCAGAAAGTAGGCATAATTTTCCCAGTTAGTTCATCAGTTTAAAAGTCATTGTTCTCACTAGCAAAGTTAAGATTATTATATGGTAGAAGTTAGTAGACTAGCGTTAATTAAAGTATGTGTAACTCATTAATCAAGGGTCATCCTACTGTTTTTCTATGTTTCCATATCTAATTGATTAATCTCTGGTGATCAGTATGCTTGTCATAAAGATTATATTATATTTTATTTGTCCCTTCGGTTTATAGTGGAACATAAGGCTTCGGTAGCATGTCACCATTCTACTCTGTTCTCTGCAGTCTTCTTAACCTGGCTCCATGACTGGCTATAAGCTTTCATTTCTTCTTCACACGACCTCCTCCGTGTCACCCTCGGACGCCGCCTGTAGTCTCTCATAGAGACAGAGTGCCATAAATTTAGTTCTGGCAAAAGTTAGCGTCGTATAACGTTAAAAAAAATTACCTTCCACGATGACCTTTTGTGATAACCTTTTTAAAAAATAAGAAGTACACAGTGCCAATTTTTCTATCATTCTCGTAATTCCTCTGCATTTTGCAAAGATTGTGACATAGACAGTGGGTAATGTATGAATGTGGTCGTCACCGCTACCATCGTCAGTACATACATAGCTAATTCAGCATGGTAGTGAATCCGATAAGTTTATTTACAGTGATAAGTCATTTCATCTTGAAAACTCCCTATATAATAACACTTTAGGTAGAGTGAGGGCATGCAACCACCTATCTTCATTGTTCCAAACCATCAGTGTGGTTGGACAGGGTTCCCTGATTTCTCTATTCCTCTTTAATTTTGCTATCGATGACATTCGAGCGACAATGAAGCGTATGATGTAGATCTACTACCTGGAGAACAGCTATTCGACCTTGACTATGCGGAGGATATCGTCTTATTGTACAATAACACACAGGCTACTCAAATCGCACTTAATCACTTGGCGATTAGTATCCGTAAATATCGTTGAATCGCAGAGTACTTTGGGAAGACTGACAGGAGCCTGTCTCCGCTCACCCTTGGTGGTGAGCCGTTGGAAGTAGTCGAGAAGTTCGTATATCTGAGTAGTTGTGTGAGTGCGGTGGAGGTGTGTGGCGAAATTCCCAACCGCACATCGAAAACCAGAGTGGCAAACACCAATCTCAGTAACCTGTATCGCCGTTGCGAAATTTGTCTGACCGTAAAAGGTTGGGTTTACAACGATTTAATACGGGCAGTTTCCCCCTACACCTGTGAAACCACTGGTCTCTCTGTGTATTTGATCATTGTTGTCTCCATAGGATTGCTTGTATCCAGTGGAAATACCATGTAAGTAATTCTGAGATACTACAGCTTATGCTCCAGCATGATGGAGACCGTCATCAATAAGTGAATTCATCTGGAAACACCAGCTTCGGTGACTTGGATATGTGTTACTCATGTCCTCCCAACAGCTTGCACACCGCTCATTGTTTGCTAACCCTGAGGCTGGTTGGAAGGAGCGTGGATGGGTGGTCAGTGTATGACGTGGTGTCATGGGATGAAGGATGGTTGTTTTGGGTTAACATCTGTTGGTGCAACATGACTCCCTGGGTGGCGTTCGAGAGATACACAACTCAGTGTCTTGAGACGTTACTAGACATGCCTGCGAATGGAAACTAGTGACGGTCATACTGTGACTTCTTTCTATCTTCTGCTGCTGGAGAGTAATGAATGCTTTGTTTTGAATATGTTTTACTGAACTGCCCTTCTTATCTATCATGCTCTTCTTCATCACTTATCCAGTTCCCGTTGTCTTCGCAATCTAGTTATACTATTTAGTGTGCCACATTTCTTGGTATCCTTGCTGTACTGCGTTTGTGTTCTGACAATAATAAAACATGCAGAACTCATCAGAGGGGCTAATTGTTTTCAATCCTTGAGAAGAAGACTCCCACTTCATGGTATCGTATGTACCTAGTACACATTACAAAGTTTACACCTTCGGCAGTCCAGACTCATATAGGAAACTAGATTTCACTAAATGATTTCCGAAAAGTGAGTATTTCACAGTCGACTCAGAATTTCTTACCGACTGTATGTCACCATATAGATTCAAGTAGAATGATTTACGGGGTAGTATTAATCACGGATTGATATCAGTTAGAAAACTATTGGAAACCTGAGAGCATTGTACAGCAGTTTCGTCGTAGTTTGGGATTCTTCGCCAGTGCGCATTCACTGGTACCCAGACGTTTTGAGTCAAGCAATCCGGATGTGAGAAGAAATACTCAATGATGGTTATGTTATATAACGCATTGACAGAAGCTGGTTGATTAGATTCCAAAGAAATGGAAATGCTAACATATTCGACACAAGAACTAACAACTATGCGCTCAACTCTCCATGAGTGTGAGCGATCCACGACAAAACGGGTTTGTAGATTACCAGTGGGTCTCCAAATGGCTATTATTTACTTGTGTATGTTGATAAATTTAAACTAGCTGTGAAGTCTTTACCATAAACCGTAAAGACTGAGCAAGGGACTGGAATCAGTGAATGGAAGTATCATCCTTCTACCAGTTAATACCAGATAGTACGAAGCAACATAGGATCGGCAACTACTGTGTAGCCGTCCAGATCGCCACATCCCATAACAGCATATCAAGTGAGAATGCACTAGGATGAAAGATAGAGAAGAAAGCGATAAAAAGCCACAACGGAGAGGAAGGAAGAATGAAAGAATACTGGAATTCGATTTCACGACTGGTCTCTTAAATATAGGATTTGTTCCACGAGCCACAACCCTGAAGTCTTCATCTCCCCACCCACACGGCTCACACCAACAGATGTTTCATACATTGATACCACGTTTCAGTTCGGCCCCTCCTAACCTTTTCCAGGCTAGACCTACTTCAGCTACGAATGTGTGAGATGATGCAGAGGTGACTAGACACGCGTAACACATATCCGTCGATGAAGATTCATAATCTAACCAACTGACTTTCCTCTCATTCCTAAAACTCTACACATGGCTTCTGCATTACTGAGGTGGTGACATCACGACACACGGTCTATACTAAGAGGGTAATGGTAGTCGAACATCAGAAGCTTTCTCGTGTTCTGTATCATCACTGGCCATGCTTCACAGCCAAATAGTGTAATAGAGTGATTTTTTTGAAAATCCTCAGGATTATTGAATTGTTGCTCATTAACTAGCAGTCTGTTACAAAACTGAACAAATTTTCAATATCATAATTGTATATTTATGTCATTTAAGAATAATGCTGACAAACTTATTTAGTGTTGTTATCTACTTGATGGCTACCAGAGGAATGCAGAACGCACGTTTCGTTCTATATCGGACTCGTCACTTGGATGTACCTGCACTCCAGTAAGTGGTGTTATTCCCACGGTGACTTGAATTGAGGATCGATCGATTTGAACGTCAAAGCGTTAACCACTGAGGCACGAGAGCCACCACCTCCTGTGCAACGGAGTATCAAACAAAACTTATTTACTGTTCTGTATAGTTCAATGCTCTTCGTCGAAACTAGTTATCCAATATTGCTTGGTTTGTAATGGGATTTCGTGTTCCCAGTGAAGAGTGTATATACCTAGTCCTAGTCCAAAGACTGATACTTGTTTACTCCGAAAATTGAACTAAAATCTGCGGTCTGGTTAAATTTTGAACTACTAAAAATATTTTATAAAATTGCTCATTTTTTTTACTTGTTTTAACCATTCAAATGTCAATTAATCGTAAAACATACTCTCGCACATTCTTAAAATGCTTTTAACCTATCATTAGTTGGTTTAACTACAATACAACATGAAAATATTATAGTAGACGGCAGTTGATCCCTGAACTGAACTTACAACAAAGCATCATACAGGAACATGTAGCTGGAACAGTAAATTTTCACACTGACTGAATGAATTTTTACCATCAAACTTACATGTTCTTTTTTTCTATCCGATCCATGCGGAACAACATACAAAATAAATGATAACCTAAAACCTACTGGCCGTTGTCCATTACTGTCTATGATAGTGTTATTATTAACAGGACTTAAATACCATCGTCATCTAATTTGTTGAAATATCACACTGAGAATTCTAAACTGTACTAAAAGTTTTTGTCAAGAATAAGGTTATTATTATTATTGATCGATTTCTTCCCAAGAAGTTCGGAACCAAACGCTCGAGTGACACGTACAATCAAAAACACTGGGTTTCAATTTGGCAGTTTGTAAGGATTTATTGATTTCAAGCGGGTATTTATCATGGACTAACGTCAGTTGGAGAAACATTAGAATCCTGGAAGTAATGGACAGCTGCTTCGTTCTAGTATGAGACCATTGGATTCCAACCCAGTGGTTCGATGGTAACGTAATGGGTTCTATCCCTGGCATGGTGGGGTCATGAGTGCGCACTGCTGAAGAGTAGTCGCATGCTAGGACGAAACAGCTATACATTGATCCCAGGCTTCCAATGTTTCTCCAACTGATGTCAGTCAACAATGAGTAGCAACGTGAAACAATTAATAAATCTCCAGAAACCTCCAAATTGAATTAATCTAGTGCTCATTGGTGACTAGCTTCGAGAGGTGGTTCCGAAGTTCTAATGAGAAGTCGTGACCGGTCGGGCAAACCTGGTGGCCGTGAGGACAAATACTCAACGATAGCATTGGGTGATGGTCGCGCCATGTCATGAACTGACAGGACTTGGAAATATAGGCCATTGGATTCCGACCCAGCTGCTGAATGGTAACGGGACCTGAAGGTGGTGGTTTCGATCCTGGTGAGGAGGGGTGGGGTCATGGATGTACACTGCTGAGTAGTCCTATATTAGGGTGGAACAGCTGTCCACTGCTCCCGGGTTTTCGATGTTCCTCCAACTTATGTCATTCATGATTAGTACCAGCTTGAACAGAGGATTTCTCTGAAATACGGTTTTATATTAATAATATTTAGTAATATACAAGCCTCAAGTCGTGAGGTATATGTGGATTTTTCGCTATCAAAGCACTTTACAAAGTGTGTCAACAGTAAAAACGGAAAAGCTGTGTCCAAGCTACGAGAAGGGAATATGAAAGAGGTGCTTAAATCCTCACAATGAAGTAAAGATGCAAGATAAACAAATGTTCAAGGTAAAATGGAACAACAAAAGAAATTACAACACTATTATGAACTGTGAAAGATATTTAAGGATGTTCAATGGTGAAACAAGATACGATTTAATAGCATGAAGTAGCATTATAAGGAATTATGAATTACACTACTCACTAATACTAAGTAGTGTAGAACTGAATGTATGAAATGAATACAAAGGCAATATTCCAGAGGGTAAACGAGAATAAGAAAGCAATAATTATGTCTGATAGTCGTATATGACCCATGTTTATTTTTTTCAATTTTTCTCTTTTTTTTTCTACTGAAGAATTCAAAGTAAACGAAGATGGGATGATGATGTTGTATTCAAGAATTGTGCTCGAGGTGAAGTAGATCATGTGAAACGTGGTTTTGTTAATGATACACTACGCTCTGAATTTCATAAGAAATTTATGAAGAAATACATCCAGTAATTGAATAATCAACACTGCCTATATATACATATATTGAATTATTGTTATTATTCTTTCATAACTAAAGTTTATTACTACCCTGTAAATAAATAAAAGTATGACCTGTTTACCATTTTACTTGTCCTTTCTTGTTTGTGTACCCAATTTATCCGAATTAGTTTAGATAAATAATAATCGTAGTAATAATGATAATAAGCATTGATACCGATTATGCGTATGCATTTTTACGTCGAAATAAGTTAGGAAGTGTATTCTCTATGAAAAAATGCTTGTGTAAGCAAATCGTCAACTGTTGATTGGGAATAATTTTAATGTACATTCATCTTGTAATCATTTAGCTCAAGTTCTTTAAATAATAAATAGATAAACAGTGTTGAATTATCTCGAAAAAAACATATCTAACTATACGACCTATATCTTCAATAGGTATTTAATGGTATTGTTGGAGTACTTTAATGTTGTTCAGTTTAACAAACGAAAAAATCATCTTCAACTATCAACAAATGCCTTCATCTTCTTACTCCTTTCGTGAGTGGTTTGATCGAATCTTGCAAAGAATTTTGAATGACCTCTCAAAAAGAGCTAGTGGCTTGAGTTCACAAGGTGTTGTGTTATTGAGTAAATATACATTTTCATTCTCCCGTTGCCAACCAGGTTGAGTAGTGTTCGCATGCACGTTTTACAAGCGGATGGGTGGTATGGCTGATGCTCTATAAGAGCAAGTAAACTGGTATACACATATTGATGCGGCCCAATGCGTTGACTTGTTTTCATACATTGACCAAAAAGTTTCTAGTAGGAGAAAATAATTCGAAGGTTGGCGGCGAAGTATATTCTACCTAAGGATTTCGACAGTTCCTGAGGATGTCTGCAGAAATATCACTTGAGTTCAAGACTCAATAAAAGAGTCTTTTTCGGTGCTAAATGTGTTTGTTCAGTTGGGCTCTTTGACTCTATGTTCTAATCTATAAAACTGAGCGGGAAACCGTTCTCCACTAGACTTCGTCGATGTGTTTGCAGTTCTCTGTCAAGCATGTCCTCAGTACATATTTTTCTGATCCTCGAGGAAAGTAAACGAATACAATTTCTTTTCCTGCATAGAGGGACTGAACTTTGAAAATTAATAAACTATCCGTTCCACACAGGCTTTCTGTAGATCGATCTACGAGGTGAATTGTCGTCTTTTCTTTGGAGTAGAATGTCAAGAAAATGGAACGTTGAGTTTGATTATGCTTCTAGAGTGAATTTGGTTGAAGGGTGGGCGTTGTTGAATGTATGAAACAAGTTAGAAAGATTCATATTTTCACCACAAACTATAAACTTATCATCCATGTACCTTTTGTAAACATGAAGTTCATTGGTCGTTGATGATAAGTTGGTGATTTCCAGGCTTTTCATGAAGCAGTCAGCTAGGAGGGGTCCTAGTGGAGAACCCATCGTCACACCATCTATCTGCCTGTAGATCTCACTATCAAATCTGAAGTGTACATTAAAGGTACATCGAAGGAGAAGCTCTTTTAGGTAGTGAATTGGGATACCAACATCTATGTTATGACATTGAATGAATTCACATAGGAAGCAGATGGTTCCTTCCAGTGGGATATTTATAAAGAGGGATGCGACATCTAATGAAATCATTCTCCTCCCTGTCAAACTGACATTCTTTATTGAATCAACAAATCGAACGTGTCACGGAGACTGTAGTTCAATAACCTTTCTCTTACAGGTTCAAGTATTTCTGCAAGCCATTTCGAGATTAAATGATATGGAGAATTTATCATATCTAGTATTGGGCGGAGTGGATTACCTTCTTTTTGTATTTTGGGAAGACCATATAAACGGGAGGTCGCAGAACCCGATGGGCGAAGTTGTCCATATAGTTATTTGCTAATGAGTAATTCATCTCTCATTTTCTTTTGTATTTTCGATAATTGCTCAATAGGATCTTTCTGTGTTGTCTGTTTTAAGAATTTATTTTCATCGGATTGAATGAGTGAAAGTTTTTTCAAATAGTCCGATTTGTTTAGTAGTACTGTTCCAGAGCCTTTGTCCGGGCGTATCATGACCAAACTTTCATTTTTCTTTAGTTCATTCAATTTGTTTCGATGTTCTCTTAACGAAAGATGTCGATAGATGGGTTTTCTATCTATGTAGTCAAGACAGCAATTTAAAACTGTTGATTTGAAATGGTTAGCCATCATCATATGAAACTGGAACTAAATCCTTGACAGTACCATGCCTCCGCTTGTAATACGTGCCCACGAACACTACTCAACCTGGTTGGCAAAGGGAGAATGGAAATGTATCTTCAATTCAATAACACAACACCTTGTGAACTCAAGCCACTTAGCTCTTTTTGAGAGGTCATTCAAAATTCTCTACAGGGTTCGATCCAACGACTCATGAAGGGAGTAAGAAAATGAAAGCATTTGTCTATAGCTGAAGCACTAACCATTCAGAAGTTAAAATCACTTTCATTTGTGTTACTTTTCCCTAATGCTTGTAAAGATCTGCAGCTGTATCATTTCATATTTATGAAGAAAAAGCTAAGTATGATCAATTGATAGTAATGGTCACGAATTGATAAGGCAGTCAGGCAAAATCCTTGGTGATCGAAGCAAAATACAAATTTGGTCACCAGTTAGAAGAGCAAGGAACCTGGCGGTCGTTGATATGAATCCTGCCGCAGTCGAAATTTTTATCCTACCTTCAATAATCACCCATTATCAATACAAGTCGACCAAACAACAGCTACCTCAGATAGTCAAAATGATAACTACAAATCTAACATTCATGTTTATCATGAGTTGTTTTCAAGAAAAGATGCTTTTGCGATTTTCAGTCTACGCAGTTACAAATGATTATAATGTCCTTACATTCTCACGTCTACCTCCTAGGACACGGGTTTTTTTACGTGGTCAAAAGAGATTAAAACAGAAAACAATAACCTAGATAATCAACTAATGAGGTAGGAGTTTTGACTGTCATTATTTAAGTTTGCATTCATCATAGACTGACATCAGTTGGAGAGCCATTGAAAGCTTGAAGCACTGGACAGCTGTTTTTCCCAGTGCAAGACTCTTCAGTAGTACGCACTCACAACTCTGTTGGAGTACGAACCCAGGTCCAATGGCGAACACACTAACCAATCAGCCGCTAGGTAGGAACTCAAGTTATTTGAGGGAATAGCTGCTGTATATGATCACTCCGTTTCATTACATCATTCCTGTCTCAGTTCATTTGATGACTCCAGTAAGTGTAGAGTCTTCAGGACACTGTAAGTGACAATTTGGAATGCATCCTCCACCAAATAAATGTAAATCGTTGCTCAAGGACTGATCTTCGGTAGTGCTTTCTTTAATAACAGGGAGTGAAATAGTTGAGTGCGTTGACCACATCACACACTTCGGAAGTCGAATCAAGCGTGTTAGGTCATTGACGTATGAAATCTCGGGGCGAATGCAAAACGCTCAGTTAGCCGACTGAGGTAAGATTATGAATCTTCATCGACGGATATGTGTTACGCGTGTCTAGTCACCTCTGCATCATCTCACACATTCGTAGCTGAAGTAGGTTTAGCCTGGAAAAGGTTAGGAGGGGCCGAACTGAAACGTGGGATCAATGTATGAAACATCTGTTGGTGTGAGCCGTGTGAGGTGGGGAGATGAAGACTTCAGGGTTGTGGCTCGCAGAACAAATCCTATATTTAAGAGACCAGTCGTGAAATCGAATTCCAGTATTCTTTCATTCTTCCTTCCTCTCCGTTGATGGCTTTTTATCGCTTTCTTCTCTATCTTTCATCCTAGTGCATTCTCACTTGATATGCTGTTATGGGATGTGGCGATCTGGACGGTTACACAGTAGTTGCCGATCCTATGTTGCTTCGTACTATCTGGTATTAACTGGTAGAAGGATGATACTTCCATTCACTGATTCCAGTCCCTTGCTCAGTCTTTACGGTTTATGGTGAAGACTTCACAGCTAGTTTAAATTTATCAACATACACAAGTAAATAATAGCCATTTGGAGACCCACTGGTAATCTACAAACCCGTTTTGTCGTGGATCGCTCACACTCATGGAGAGTTGAGCGCATAGTTGTTAGTTCTTGTGTCGAATATGTTAGCATTTCCATTTCTTTGGAATCTAATCAACCAGCTTCTGTCAATGCGTTATATAACATAACCATCATTGACTATTTCTTCTCACATCCGGATTGCTTGACTCAAAACGTCCGGGTACCAGTGAATGCGCACTGGCGAAGAATCCCCCAAACTACGACGAAACAGCTGTACAGTGCTCTCAGGTTTCAATAGTTTTCTAACTGATATCAATCCGTGATTAATACTACCCCATAAATCATTCTACTTGAATCTATATGGTGACATACAGTCGGTAAGAAATTCTGAGTCGACTGTGAAATACTCACTTTTCGGAAATCATTTAGTGAAATCTAGTTTCCTATATGAGTCTGGACTGCCGAAGGTGTAAACTTTGTAATGTGTACTAGGTACATACGATACCATGAAGTGGGAGTCTTCTTCTCAAGGATTGAAAACAATTAGCCCCTCTGATGAGTTCTGCATGTTTTATTATTGTCAGAACACAAACGCAGTACAGCAAGGATACCAAGAAATGTGGCACACTAAATAGTATAACTAGATTGCGAAGACAACGGGAACTGGATAAGTGATGAAGAAGAGCATGATAGATAAGAAGGGCAGTTCAGTAAAACATATTCAAAACAAAGCATTCATTACTCTCCAGCAGCAGAAGATAGAAAGAAGTCACAGTATGACCGTCACTAGTTTCCATTCGCAGGCATGTCTAGTAACGTCTCAAGACATAAATCCTCCAACAAAAATGGAAGTCCTGAGTGCCATAAAGCTACTGAAATATGGGAAAGCAGCACGACCAGACAGAATCCCGCCAGAAGCACTGAGAACAGATGCAGAGACAACAGTGGACATGCTCACACCACTATTGCAGAAGGTGTGGAAGGAAGGAAGGTACCTGCTGATCGATTGGAAGAAGGGTTACCTTGTCAAACTCCCGAAGAAGGGAGACCTCAGTGTTTGCAAAAACTGGCGCGGAATCACTCTCCTGTCCACCCAGAGCAAGCAAAATATTAAGCCGCATCATCCTGGACAGGCTAAAGGATGCACTAGATTCAAAACTAAGACCTGAAAGGCTAGCTGGATTCAGGAAGTACAAATCATGTGCAGACCAAATTGTAACGCTTCGTATCATCATAGAACAGAGTATAGAATGGCAATCAGCTCTCTACCTCAACTTCATCGACTTTGAGAAGGCCTTTGACAGCATCGACCGAGAAGTAATTTGGAAGCTGCTTCATTACCACGGAGTACCGCAAACCTTTATCCACCTCATTCAACAACTATATGAAGATGCCACATGCCAGCCAAGTAATTAACAATGGGAAGCTCAGTGATGCTTCTGAAGTGAAGTGAAGACAGGAGTGAAACAAGGTTGCCTACTATCCCCCATGATATTCCTGATTGAGGTCGACTGGACTGGATCATGCAGCAATCAGTGGGGAGCTGTGAGAAGAGGGGGATACGCTGGCTGGACTGCCGAAAAGAACCTAGAAGACCTGGATTTCGTCGATGACTTGTGTCTGATGTCACACAAACTCGAAGATCTGCAGGCAAAAACTAACAAGTTGACAGAAGAGGTGAGGCAGTGAAGGAAGACGGGACTTCAAATGAATATAGAGAAGACAGAGGTGATGAAGATACCTCACCAACAACTCCAACAACAAACTCCAGTTACCACCAACGGAAGAAACTTAAAGGAAGTAACCTCCTTCACCTATCTAGGAAGCACTGTTTCAACTACAGGTGGCGGCACAGGCACAGACGAGGATGTCAAAGCCAGACAGGATCGGAAAAGCAAGACAGGTGTTCATTAGCCTGAAACCAGTGTGGAATATACTCAACTGCACTCATCTCAGCATGTGGAACGAGATCCGGATTTTCAACACCAATGCCTGTCAAGTCAGTGCTTCTGTATGGTTGAGAGACTTGGCGCATCACGAAAGGGATTTCCAATAAACTACAGACATTCATCAACAACTGCTTACGCTGGCTCGCTACTGAAGATCAGTTGAGATGGCCAGAAAGAATAAGCAACAAGGAGCTCTGGGAACGAACCAACCAACAACCTACCACCCAACAAATATGCATTGGAGGGAAGCGGAGATGGATTGGGCATGCACTGAGAAGGCCTACTGGGACATCATGCGGCAGGCCAGGCCCTCGAGTGGAATCCCGATGGGAAGCGACGAGTTGGACGTCCGAGGTGAGGGTGACATGGAGGAGGTCGTGCGTGGAGGAACTGAGAGCTTCTGGGCTGTCGTGGAACCATGTTCAAAAAATCTCAGGGAACAGAGGACACTGGAGACGTGCTACTGAAGCCCTATGTTCCATTAGGAACCACGGGACAAATTACATATATATATATATATATATATATATATATATATATATATATATATATATGAATTCCAGCCTGAATCAATTGACGAATCTATTATACTGGGTAATGACTGAAGATGAATTGAAAACTTGGACCACACCGGATTCGAACCAATGACTACCGAATTTTCGGCCCGATACTCTACCAAATGAGCTACGAGCTCCAAACCGGTGATCACTGGTTCGAATCCGGTCTCAGCTTAAATTTTCACTTCACCTTCAATCATCACCCAGCATAAATACTTTTCTGCCAAACTGCAGCTATCTCAGATAGTCATAATGATAATAAATCTCCTTGAACCTCCTGATTAAATTAATCTATTACTCATTGGTGACTAGCTTCATGAGGTGATTTCCAAGGTTCCAATGAGAAGTTTTGACCAGTCGAGCAAACCTGGTGGATGCGAGAACAAATACTCAACGATGACATTGGGTGATGGTCGCACTTTAACGTGAACTGACAGGACTTGGAAATACGGACCACTGGGTTCAGACCCAGGGGCTAAATGGTAACGTGCCAACGGATTCGATCCCTGCCAGCGTCATGCTCGCACACTGCTGAGAAGTGCCATGTTAGGACGAAACAGCTGTCCGGTGTCCCAAGGTTTCTAATGTTCCTCCAATTCATGTCAGTCCATGATGAACTCCAACCTGAAATCAATCAGTAAATCTCCACTAACCTTCAGACTGATATACTATGTCCGCTGGGAAAGTCTGTTGCTGACCAAAAGTTCAAGCTGACCGCCCCAGTCATTGTAAGTTTTTAACACGTCTTCTCTGGGACTGGTTAGCTGAATGTACCTCCATCTTGATGAGTATTGTCCTCTTCACTAAGACCTGAATCCAAGATCGACCACTCCAAACCGCAGAGCTCTGTCCACTAGGCTACTGAACCACGATAGTCACTGCTTGTACAATAACATCAAGTTTACTCTAAACTACACAGACTAGAGACTTTTACAAGTACATAGTCTATCTCTCTGCAACTAGTAAGTGTTTATTTCTCTCTGATCGTTTGTTATGTTCCTTTGACATGACTAATTATCGTTGACAATGTTATCCACCTTGCTAATGAAATACTTTTTAGCGGTGAATAAGCCCCCTTTCCTCGTCCCCAAGACTGATAGTTCATAGCTCAATGGTATTTGACATTGGTGATGACCTTCGTAGTGCTAACTGACACTTGTTTCGTAGAAGGTAAGTGATCAGATTTCGGTGCAGTTTGGCACATTTACAGTCCTTTTGCCAATCGACCGAACCATACACGTATCTCTGTTTTTTGGCGTAATTCGACAAATATACTATTGAATTTCGAGGGGGTTGTAGGGATTTGGGAATGTTTCAATATTTCGATCCCTGGCGGGGTCGTGGGTGCGCACTGCTGAGGAGTCCCACGCTAGGATGAAACGCTGTCAAGTGCTCCCAGGTTTCCTTTGTTCCTCCAACTGATGTCCGTCTATGATGAATAACAACTTGAAATATGCTGTTCCTGATCTGGTAGCCAACTTGTGTCTAGTCTCTGTGGTGCACTCACTAATTTCAAGCAGACAACGATTTTCGGAGGATAACAGTCACTATGGTGTTAAACAACAATTCTTTTAAAAAACCAAAGTGGTAATCAATTTCAGTGTTTATTTTCAATAGAACCTGCTATTAAGCTCCAACCAATACTACACCATAAATCATATTTACATAGATTTTATTTACATAACTTTCAAAATAGGAAAAATCAATAATACCCCAACAACAACAAAAAAAGGAAACCAACTGTTTCACCTCATCATTTTACAAGAATTGTATTGATGTGTGCTGAATATTGTAGATACAACAGCAAGGACTGATCACTGTACAATAACTATGCATCTTTATTTAAATTAATTCAAGGTTATCCTATTCACAATGGCGCAACTTTTGAAATATAAAAATCAACAAAAAAAAGTTATGATAATCTAAAATTAGGTCATTTCATTTGAAATGGCGTTTGATCACCATTGAATCCAATTAGAATTGTAGCTAAATCTTTTGAATTCAATATAGTAGTATAATCAATTTTAGAATTACTCATAGTCTTCAATGTATCAACAATTGTTTGTTTGATTGTTACTGTTGAATCATGTGTGTCAGTCAACTGGAATGGAGATGATGGTAAGTGAGTAGCTTGTGAAGTATTTGGATTAGTAATTGTTGATGACAAGAGAGTAGAGATCGAATTATCAGTTGAAAATTGTAAATTTGGACTATTCGATAATAAATGATGCAAAAGTGATGTATACGTATTAAATGTGTTCAATAATGTTTGATTATCCGGTGAGTGATTCAGTGTTTCATGATGATTTCCTTCTGTAGTATTCAGATCAGTAGTGTTATTGGTGTTATTATGATTATCACTACGTGATCTTTCATGTTTACGGTATTTAGCTCGACGATTTTGAAACCAAACCTGGAAGAAAAATAGAGATAATAAAACAAGAATTAGTGTATAGGTTAACTTCAGATAATTTAAAATATATTTAAGCGCTTTTCAATCGTCAATAGATAAACAAACACCAAGTAAATAACAGTAAAGATAAAACCTATTAAATATATATTTTCTTCTGTTATTTTAGCATAGATTAACACAGATGGATATCGCTTTGACTATCTAAGATAGCCGAGGTTTGACAGACTTGTTTTATTCATGCTGAGTGATAATTGAAGGTGAAATGAAATCTGGGCCACGGTGGATTCGAACCAGCGATCAAAGGGTCTCCTGCCTGATGTTGTACCAACCGACCTATGAGATGCGAATGCTGATTAGATTTGTATTTCTTTTCAATCATCAAGAGGTTCGCCCGACTACCATGTGAATTCGTGACGCGTTACTGTGGCTTGATAGTACTCACACAGGCTACCCAGTCAAGACTTCTCATCCCAATCCAAATCATCATCATCATCACACTGATCATTAGTTTGACTATGTGAGATAGCCGTGCTTTTACACTTTCATTAATACAGAGTGATGACTGAAGGTGGAATGAAAATCTGGACGGCGACAGGATTCGAACCAGCATCAGTGATCACCTAGTAATAGATAGATGTATCTATTCTTGTTTCACCTTCCTATTGATTATTTCAGTGAACTGAACTGATTGAATATCGTTAACGAATGGCCTCCTTGAACGATCGCCTCACATTACACCGTTTTTCTATGCTACATGCAAAGCAGTGACTAACAATGAATTAAACCCTAACCTCATAGCTTTCAATATCACAACTGACTCTGACAACTCAACAGCCTGGTGATTGAAGACAAGATTATTGGGTTCAAACTATACAAAGATACAAGTGCATACACCAGATGAGTCCCGAAAAGGAAGAAATGTACGTCCTGGATTCTACTACCAGTCACCAGTAAAACATTTAAGTTGGTGTTTTCAAAGATAAATTTCATCACTACCAGGCAATCTAAGATACTGACTGACTCACTTGTGGACAGAATATAGAAATTAATCTTGTCACTAGTCAACACTGACAAACATCTGAATGCAATAAGCAGACAGTATTCATAAAGATCCGGGTTTAGTTGTAGCTCGAATCGCTTGTTGGTTAAGCCTGTGACTTCAGGACTGAGTGACGCAGCTTCAAATCACTAAGAAAACACTAGTTTCCATACGGTTGCAGATGCGCCTTGTTAATGGGTAATGACAAGCGAAAAACCGGGATCCAGGACTTCTTGCTGATCAACTGCCATCATCTAACATATAGAAGTAATTAAGGTAGCATTCATCACCAAGTGGCATCACTTGGAGAAACCTCCCGGCACTGAACACCTGTTCCGTCCTAGTGTGGGATTCCTTTGAAATACGGACCCACGACCCCGTTCCTCCATAGATCTAACTCAAGACGCTTTAATCATTCAGCCACAAGGTTGGAGTTCAATGATCCATAGTTTCCTACTTCTTTTAATTCACGATATAGAGTAACTATTCACTAACGTTTTCATTTGACATTCGCTTCATCTCTGACTGACTAGTTGATCCCACAGGGTACAGCTTCTCATTAGAACTTCAGGATATCTATTTTGAAGCATGTCACTAATGGGTACGATACAATAATTTAAATAAGAAGTCCTATCAACAAGAGAATCGATGAAAAACTCAGATAACACTATACAATACATCCCAGTACACACAGTTCAACATGTTCTTGATGAACCTTCTCATTATCAGTTTGACTATTGGAAATACAGTGGCTTTGCAGACTAGTATTGATATTGGGTAATGATAATCGGCAAATTAATACTAATTATGAATAAAAATAGTCAGAAAGCGGAAAATAAATAAATAGAAATCAACAGCAAGCCTTGGTGATTGAAGCGAAATACAAATCTGATCAGTATCTTGATCTGGTAACTCAATTGTGATAGAACACCTGACCTTATAACCTGGGGGTTGCTAGTTCGAGTTCACCTAGTAACAAATTAAACTCAAGAGACTCTTTATTTCAAAAGTGTTTAAACTTTTAGCATAGATACTAATGAATGATTTAATCATTTATGTTTGACGTAGATGTGTGTATGTGTATGTATCCATATATGAATGTTTCCTCTTACAAATATATGTACACTTAATATGTATTGACAATTAAATCAAGCACTTGAAAAGGAATTTCAATAAAAGCTTAATTGGTACTTATGTGAATCTAGACTTTCATAATACTACGTAGTCAACAATTCACATACAGGGGCAGAATTGCACACACCGTCATCATCATTGTATCTTTTCCTATCACAATTGAAATTTATGTCATTATAGTAATGTAATCACACTCTCAGTAAATGACATCCCTGCTTATGCAATCAATTATAAAGGGGATTAACCAATTCATGCATACACACACACACACAAACACGTACTTAACTCATTTGAAGATGACAATAACCTATAATGAGTTAAAAGTGAATGAGATCTCGATAAAAATTATTAATTAATCCAATGCATACATACACATACACACTAATTAATTACACGAAAGTCTATGTAACTGTGATTTTTTGTAACCTATTTTATGTTTCAGTAACCAAGGTGGTTAAAAATTTTCAAATCATCATCTCAGTAAAACAAAGAAATTTCACCAATGTTACAGTAACTAATTTACAAATTAATGTAACTAAAATGACGTGTGTATGTGCATACATGTGTGTATCTCGTTCACTTTATTGTACTATGAGGTGGGGAGGGTAGAGAAGGTGTGATACACGGTTACAATTAAGTTGATGGGTCAATTGATGAAAGGATAGTCGGTGTTTTGTAAAAGAAGATGACAATAGAATTTAATGATTGTCATAGCTTGAAACCTCTTATTTATAAACATGACATTTAATACAACGTGAAAACATAATTTAATCATGAACTATAAGTGGGTTAAACTGGTCATGTTTTCAGCTTATTACTATTATTATGACTATTCTGTTGTCGCTAGGGTTTCTGTAAGTGTAAGAAGTGGAAATGACGATTTCCAAAAGTCTCTTATCTCTATGCTAGAAAAAAACCCTCTGAAATCTGATTGGTTACCATAAAAGTTATCATTCAAGGCGTGGGTGGATAAATGATTAAAATTAACCAATAAGTAAGCAATATAACTCGGATACCGATTATGATTGTTCCACTCGGTTAAACTTAATGAATTAGTAACAATGTATAATTAAGTGACATACTGAGTAGTAGAAGATTCCAAATTTATCTTTTATAATCCTTAGACACCTTTTTACAATCAAATCTTTTATTAATGTAACTTCAAACAACTAATTAGTGAATTCTATCAGTAGATTCGTGGCGTTTTATTGATTTCAAGGTGGTAATTCAATCAGTCCGTGATAAACATCACCTTGAAATGATTAAGTCTCCACAGGCCTGCAAAGTGAATTACTTTCTAATGATAAGTCATGACCGGTGGAACAGATCAAGTCAGACAAGGACAAATAATCAACGATGACATCGGCTAAAGGATGCACTATATCACGGATTGACAGAAGTAGGAAAATGCGGCCATTGGATTCCAATCCATTGACTCAATGGTAACTTGCTGTCTGCGAAACCTGGAGACCATGAGTTCAATCCGTTGTGGGGTAATAGGAGAGCACTGCTGAAGAGTCTCACAACACTAGAACGAAACAGCTATCCAGTGCTGTTAGGTTTTCAATGCTTCATCAACAGATGTCAGTCCGTGATGACTGGTATCTTGATATTGAATTCTGATTTGTTAGATAGGAGATTGCATACTCTCTACGACATTTCACGGTTACGGGTTTGATCCTAGAATAAGCTTAGTTTAAGAATTAGTAGCCTCAAGACCAGCTGGATTAGAATGATAGAATGCAGATTTCTATGTGCTAATATTCTTAATCAATAAACGCCACTTACTTGAGTATTACTCGAGATTTACGGTGAATAAATCACATTTCATCCCAAGGAGTCACCCTGAAGATTTCATCAGCAATCTACTCCGACGTTCATTCCAAATCATATTTAAGTTAACAAACTAGCGGAAGCTCGTATATCATGTAATCAGTTAATCCGATTAGATGAGTCTTGCTCAGAGATCGGTAGGTGTAGCAAAACTCAAACTCATTCAAACTAGCTGAAAAACTAACCAGTTCCATAATTCCCTTACCACTTGCATGTCATCTGACAAACTAAAGCTCCTGTAGCGCTGTATACGTGGCCGAATCTCAGCGGGAATAACATCACTCACTGGGAGGCAGATACATCTAGCTGACGAGTCCCAAATGGACGAAACGCGTGTCCTGGATTCTTCTGTTAGCGGTAAACAAGCAAATCATCTAAGTAAATATTCAAGCAATATCGAGGCGTCCTCATAGGAGCCCATATGCTAACAGAGGTCGAACAATCTGATCCAGCGAAACGACGGAGAATTACAAGTACAGCAACAAAAAGTCATAAAATCTCCTGAACCTATAATTCCTCGACTTTGTGGTCAATCTAATTGATTTTTAAAATGATTTTCTATGCATTCAGAGGAATTTCTTGAGTCATAGGCCCACATTTATCGATTGCAATAACGGTTTTAATTGCATCTTTTATTTATTTATTCATTTCAGGTCCGAGTTCACTTCGAACTGGTATCAACTGGGGGAACATTGGAAACCCTGGAGCACTGGAGAGCTGTTTCGTCCTGGTATGGGCTTCCTGGGCACCGTGACAATATTTGGACCAATGGCTTCCAGATTACCCGCCGCGGGGCCCTACCAACGAAACTACTAAAAGACCCAGTTGCTGACCAAGTTTTAATTTTATTACAGTTACTACTCTGTATCATTAGTATCAGTCTGATAACCCATGGATTTCAGAAAGGTCTCATCAATCATCAAAAATTCTATTGCGTTTATAAGTCTAGAGTGAAAAGAAAGGTCGTTTAGCTTTTCTTTTCCAGTAAAACACTGGATTAACAAAGAAAAGAAGGGAATGGGGGAGACTTTAAAGCCAACCTAGCAACTGGCGAGACAGCCAATCACATTACTTTGTTTTATGGAAAAGTTCTTTTCCAGTCGAAATACCGAAACCTGATTGGTCATTTCAGTTGTTATTAGGGTAGTCTTCGAAGTCACTGGGGCTGGTGACCTTGAACTTTAACTTTAATAAAATAAATAAGTGATAATCAATGAATGTAGAAAATTTGAGTACCCATCACTTATGAAGATGAGAGACAGCAGAGCAAGACAATTGGTCAGCACTATCCCCCCCCCTTCGCTTCATCAAATAGAGGGTTAAGAATAAGGAAATCATTGCAATGGAGACTGCATAAGGTGTGAGCTTATCAGTCCAATTATATCCCCATTCAGATATGAAAACTGTAATATCAGCCTAAAAGTGGAAAATGTGAAGCTCAGATAAGTGTCATTGATCGCATTACCTTAATAACTTTAAAAGCCATCCTACAAATGATTAATTGGTAACATCATCCTCTAGTTCAAGAGCTTTTGATTGACCCACCTTCATCCATTTATGTATGATTTATATCTCGAGAATAATTCCATGTAGAGTTAAATCATCCATCATTGTATTATCTTATTTTCTATGCTAGAAATCGGTTGTCTCATTCTTATAAATTATGGTACTATTGTTAGCAGTTGGAACTGCTTCAATACTACGGAGTACCGCAAACCTTTATCCGCCTCATTCAACAACTATATGAAGATGCCACATGCCAAGTAATCCACAATGGGAAGCTCAGTGATGCTTCTGAAGTGAAGTGAAGACAGGAGTGAAACAAGGTTGCCTACTATCCCCCATGATATTCCTTATTGTGGTGGACTGGATCATGCAGCAAACAGTAGGCAGCGAGAAGAGGGGGATACACTGACTGGACCTCGGAAAAGAACCTAGAAGACTTGGATTTCGCCGATGACTTATGCCTAATGTCACATAAACCTGAAGATCTGCAGGCAAAAACTAACAAGTTGATAGAAGAGGCAGCTAAGACGGGACTTCAGGTGAATATAGAGAAGACAGAAGTGATGAAGATACCGCACCACCACCATCAACAACAACAACAAACTCCAATCACCGTCAACGGGAGAAACTTGAAGGAAGTAACCTCCTTCACTTATCTAGGAAGCACTGTTTCAACTACAGGCGGGACAGATGAGGACGTCAAAGTCAGAATCGGAAAAGCAAGACAGGTGTTCATTAGCCTTAAACCAGTGTGGAGATCTCCTGCACTCAGCATGCGGAACAAGATACGGATTTTCAACACCAACGTCAAGTCAGTGCTTCTGTATGGTTCAGAGACTTGGCGCGTCACGAAAGGTATTTCCAATAAACTACAGACATTCATCAACAACTGCTTACGCTGGCTCGCTACTGAAGATCAGTTGAGATGGCCAGAAAAAATAAGCAACAAGGAACTCTGGGAACGAACCAACGAAGCAAGAACCTATCACGCAACAAATATGCAGGAAGAAGTGGAGATGGATTGGCCATGCACTGAGAAGATCGACTGAGGACATCAGGCCTCAGGCCAGTTGCTCGAGTGGAATCCCCATGGGAAGCGATGAGTTGGACGTCCGAGGGTGACATGGAGGAGGTCATGCGAGGAGGAAATGAGAGCTTCTGGGCTGTCGTGGGACCAGGTTCAAAAGATCTCAGAGAACAGAGGTCACTGGAGACGTGCTACTGAAGCCCTATGTTCCACTAGGAACCCAAGGGACTAATAATAATAATAATATAATGTTAGCAGTTGGGACGGGTGAGTTGCGTGACTCATCGCGTGGGTGGATTGAGTATACGAAACCGGGTGAGTGTACTTAAGACCAATCACGTGCAAGATCACCGTTAATACTGAATTACCAGAATCACATGCTTAAGACAACTGCAACCAGGTAAAGTGACAACAGGAGAGTAGAAAGATAAGAAGCCGTTGTTATCGTTGGGTTCGGAGGTCAAAGTTATACTGCTGGTGGGGTAGAAATACGGTCTTTCTCGCAGATGGTCAACAGTGCCATGCTAATGCTACCTTCCTTATGGGAAGAAGACGAGGTTGTAAAAGGTTGACCCCAAAAGTAGTACAATCCTCTTCACTCTATAGTCTTCCGGTGTCGGTGGTATGGGTTTACAGATGAATTCAAAGATCCTAAACATCGGGAAAAGCCATCTGTGGCCGGCTCCAAGCAGATGTCAAGTGTCAACCATCATCACAACTCTGTCACCACTGAAGTCCCTTCAGATTGTTATCTTTCTTCATGCTTATCGGTCAATTTTCTCACATCATAGTTATTTTGTTCCAGCTCTGCAGATCTTCAAACCGATTTGAGTTCACGAAACAGCATCATTGGTCTCCTGAAGCTACATTCCAAACTACACATTGGAGCATTCAATATCTCCACCCTATGTCGAATCGGCCAACAAGCTTCACTAGCCACAACTCTAGCAACTCGGGGCATAGACGTTTACTGTGTTTGTGAGACATGCATACAGGATCCAAGTGAAGTTACCTACTTAGCCTCATCTGGCCAATATGGTGAACTGGCTACTTCTCGCCGTTCCCAGGTAGTCAGATAGTTACAAACTGACAATCAGTATGATGTCTCTCCTTTCTAATTCAAGTAGATTTGGATTGCAGTGAGAAATCCGAACTATGTGAGTACTATTAATCGATAGTAACGCATCACGAATTCACATGGCAGTCGGTCAAAACCCACATTGATGACTGAACTGAAATGCGAGTCTAGTAGCCTACTTGTTAGAGATCTCTGGGCCGAAATACTAACGATCACTAGTTTGAATCCTATCAAGACACAGGTTTTCCTTTCACTTTCAATTACTACCAGGTATCGACAATACAAGTTTACAAAAACTCGATTATTTCAGATAGTTAAACTGATAATGAAATATAACACCACATACCTGTACTCTACCATCTGATAAATTCAGTTGACTTGCCAATTGATCACGCGCTGCAACATCTGGATATTGATTCAATAAAAATGCGGTCTCCAGTGTATGCAGTTGATAAGTTGTAAAAGTTGTTCTCAAACGTCTTGGTCGAGTTACATTATGATGATGAAGTGGATGTTCAGATTGAAATGTGGATTTTAAGTTGTAATTTGAATTAGAATGATTTATTGATTTTTGATTTAAATGTTTCACGTGACTATGACTATTTTTAAACTTGATATTGGTTGTAGTAGTAGTGGTGGTAGTATGACTCATTGAATAATCATGTTTATTTTCATTTTCGAATAAATTTAAATATACAGTTTTCTTATTATGACTCATTGATGAATTATCATTGGATATGTAAGCATCATTTGAAGTGATACTAGTCTTTTCAGAATTAACTGGTGATGTACTATCGTTACACCTTTTGAGTGGATGATTTGGACTCAAGAAGGAAGTTGATGAAACTGAGGTGGAGGAGGACACTGGCGAAGAAGAAGAAGAAGAAGAAGTAGAGGACGATGATGACACTGTTAGGATTGGTTGTGGTGATGATTGTTGAAATGGGCTAGACGAAGAAAGTATCTGATGATCCATTTCTGAATGAATTGATTGAAATGAATAAAGACTAGAAGGAGATGAGTACGATGATACATTCAACTCATTTAAGGTATCCGATGATGCTAACCGATCTCTACCGCCTTCAGTTATCGAGCCTAAAGAAAAGTAAGTAATTGGGTATTAGATTAAAAATAAAATTTAGATAACAAAGTAAACTGAACGGGTTGTTGCTATAATTTGATCCTGCCGATTCAGTATTATCGCTGATCTTGCACCTGATTGGTCTCGTATACTCAAGTCCACCCACATGATGAGTCACGCAACTCAACCTTCGCAACCACCTTCAACACAACACAAAGTCTGATGCTCACTGTTCGTGTATATTTCAGGCAATCTGATTCATCTGCACATACAACTGAATTACCGGACCTCAACGCACCATAATTTATCAAAGTGAGATAATCAATTTCAAACACATAACATCATGAATATTTGGCAGTATCGAGGCATCTGCATAGGAGCCCATCCTCAAATAGTGGTCGAGCAATTCGACCTGGTATAGCAACGAAGAATTACAAGTATCATTATAACTACTGATATCCATTGCACAAGAGGCGGCTATCGTATTCTTGTGGCTTAGTGGATAATGCTGTGGTGTTTAAAGGTGAAGGATATTGGATCCCAGCCCCAGTGGGAACAATATCACTCACTGGGTATAGTATATTCAGCTGATGAGTCCTAAATAGGACGAAACGACTGTCCTGGATTCCTCTGCTAGTCACCAAGATCATAAAGTAAACGATAACCTGAAAACACTATCTCTACCAAGTTAGAACTTACTCAACTGTATACATCACACATTTCATTTTCAAATGAGATCAGAACCTTCAAAATTCGGAGAGAGCACATTACTCTTCAACTAGTTAGGAGTTTTTCAGCGATCATATTCACTGTAAGCTAATTTAGCCTACTGAATGTTGTTCTGGATCGGTTGTACGTATCCCCGGCGAAGACCAACTGAACTCCCTCACAAATATGATATTAATAATAACGGCTTCTAATGTCATTGTAAATAATAAAAATACTGACAAGTTTTAAGCTTACCAGAACTGTGTCTTTGCTTGAGATGATGACAGTAATGATTTAGTTGACGGTTTTCTTTTTCACATCCTCTCCGTTCATCATCACAACTGGCTGGATGCTGAATTGATCTATTCAACTTGTTAGATGGTGGTAAGTTTGTCTCCAACAGTGTTGCAATCGTAAAACTCATCTGTTCTTCTTCTTATTATTATTATCCTTTGTTTTACTGTGAATAACAAAATAAATCCATAAGAGAAGAAGAAGAAGGCACTAAGCAATACTTTGTGAATAAATTTTACAACAAAGATACTGACAAAGAATATACTACTGAGAAGTAGTAATTAGTAGAAAAGTCAATTGTCAGTCTACAAGCTGGTAGTAATTTGAGCTCACCTTCGAAACCAATCATTTCTATGATCAAATTATATCTGCACACAAATAGATTTACTGACTATTGTTGCTCTGACGTCATCAAACATAGTTATGTAGACAAATATATATATTGCCTCCACTTAGACTGACGTGCTACGAAGTATTTCGATTGAAATGTAGATTAATTATTATTCATAATTGACCTGGTTGTGTTTCTTCATGTTTGAGACTCGTCAGCCGGATGCACCAACACCCTAATGAGTGAAGTCCCCGTTTGAGACTGGAAACCAATCGCTTCAAACGCTAAAGCACTATCCACTAGATCCATCAATTCGATCCAGTTTAACAACAGAATTACAAGTATTTCAATAAATAAAAACGACAAATACCCGTTGTACAAGAGGTGGCTATCTTGTCTCACTGGCCTATTGGATAACTTTTTATCTTTTGGAGCGACGGGTACGAGATTCGAGTCTCATTGGGAACAACATCACTCACTGAGGTGCTGGTGCATCCAGATGACGAGTCTCAAATGGGACAAAACGCGCCTCCTGAATTCCAGTGTTAGCCACGACCAAGTCAGTTATAACAATATACCTCAGGACACATCGAGGCAGCTCGTGGCATAACGCCATTATTAACGGTGAGTATTTGTCCTATTAAGTGATTTGGTTGACCCCACAGACTACTACTTCTAGTACTAGAACTTGAAAAAGTTCGTCTGAAATAGTAATTATGTTGCCGGCCTTGGATCGGTATTCAACACATTCGATAAAAACTAGCCCTAACACCTATAAAACTTATGAAAACAATCTTTTCACTCGGAATTTGAGAAAAGAAGAAGCGTAAAAGAGGAAAAATCCCTGACATGTTAAATACGGACAATGATGATTTCAGATATCCATTCCGATGATTTCACTGATGAATACTGCCTTAAAGTAAAATTTCTATGAACTTCAAACCACGTTATTGTGTGGTGCTCACTAATGACATGCGTTAAAATGGGTATCTTGAAGTTTTGATGAGAAACCGTGACCTTTAGGGTCAACCAGTAAGTTAAAAGTGAAGCGAATACCAACTGAAGACGCTGGTGGATGGTTAGACTATATCGTGAACTGACACAAATAGCAAACTGTGGATTATTGAACTCCAACTTATTAACTGAATGGCTAATGGGTCCTGAGTTCGATCTGTGGTGGGGTAGGGTCGTGGGTGCGTACCTCTGAGGAATCCCATACTAGGACGAAATACCTGTCCAGTTCTGGCGGGTTTTCAATAGTTCTCCAGCTGATATCAGTCCATAATGGATACTACCTTAGAAATATAGGATATTTTATAATTGTAATGGTGGATAGTGGCTAGTGGTGGAGTCCAGGCTGCGCATTTCGTCTTATTTGGGACTTATCAGCCAGATCTACCTGCTTCCCAGTGAGTGATGTTGTTTTCACCGGGATTCGAACTCGACAGCAATGGTACTAACACTATCTTACGATTGTAATGATACCCATTGCAGACGAGGTGCCTATCGTGTCCCGCAGGCTTAGTGGATACTACTCTGGCTTTTGAAACGACGAGTGCTGGATTCAGCTTCAGTGGGGACAAATCACTCATTAGGGTTGGTGCAGCTACGCCCAGCTGACGAGTCCCAGATAAGACGAAACACTTGTCCTAGATTCCTCTGATAGTTACCAAATCAACACGATACCTTATGATTCTTAATTGAAAAATGTGTCAAAGGCTCCATTTATCTTAATTCGTGAGATAATCCAACATATTTGTAATACATGGGAAGTGACAATCATTGTAGCTTAATGAAACTTTGGTTGTCTCCAGGTTATGAAGACATTGTTAAAGAAACGTAACTGTCAGCTAGATGTTTGTTTCATGTCAGTCACCTTCAAGTGTCGAGTCGGTCATGAAAACAAATAATCATTCCCAACGATATGGAAGGAATTCGCACACTGTAGTAGACTGTAATCCCACCGTAATTTCTTTACTACTTGGATCACCTAATGGTTACAACAGTAGTTAGAGTTGGTTTTGAAGTTGTAAAGTTATTTCTGTGTGAATATGTGAATAATAAATTGGCAGAAAAACTATGCGACTAAACAAATGCTTAGAATTCTATGTCAAAATCAAATTCTAATCTAAGATGAAAAGAACAGCATGAAAATTGTACAAATTATTCATACTTACTTTGCGTAGAACTAATTATGTATACTTTCCAGTGGTTTGTAGATAAATTATGAGAAAATGGTGAAGCTAATTTAAATAAATAGTCCTACGGAAATTACTCATTTTTTATTGGTTAGTATACATCGCTAATTTCTAAAATCCCCTCCCCCTCCCCCTACAAATCAACCAATTAAACTTAGCATTAATTATTGTGATAGGGGTGCAGTAAAATAATAAGCATATTATTTCCCTGGTAATTTACTTGGTTGTGGCTAGCAGAAGAATCCAGGACGCGCGTTTCGTCCTATATGAGACTCATCAGCTGGATATGCATGCACCCCAGTGAGCTATATTGGCCCCACTGAGACATGAACCTCGTACCCATCGTTTCAAACACCAAGGCATTATCCGCGATAGCCACTTCTTGTACAACGGGTATTCGTTTTACGATTTATTGATATACTTGTAATTCTCCGTTGTTTTATTGGATCCAATTGTTCAATCTCTATTGATATATGGGCTCTTATGTGAATGCCTCGATATCACCTGAATGTTAATTACGGTAATTTGCTTGGTTGTGGCTAGCAGAAGGGAGAATTACTAGTATATCAATAAATAGTAATAACTAACACCCGTCGTACAAGAAGTGACTATTGTGCCTCCATGGCATGATGGATAACGCCTCGGTGTTTGAAGTAAGGGTTACGAGGTTCAAGTCTCAGTGGGGACAATATCGCTCGCCGGGGTGCAGGTACGTTTAGGCAGTATTGGGGTATCTGCATAGGAACCCATATACCAATAGAGGTCAAACAATCCGATCCACTAAAACAATGGAGAATGACAAGTATGTCAGTAAGTAGTAGCACTGTTTCTCATTTCGTATTTCTTATTGATGAAGAGAATTTTAATCTTATGTTAAAGAACGATCACACAAAAGCATCAGTGTATTATAGTTATGAGAAATGCACCTACCTCATCGCACGCCCTATGCAAGATGAGGAGTTAAGATTAGGTAAGCTATCCTTCAATCTCGGATTGAGCATTGGCTGACTACTGAAAGACATGCAAAGATGACTTGTATAAAATGTTTTATTGACTGCTCTAGCTAGGCTATGTGATATGATGTCACTTGGAACGTTTCCCTTGAATTATAAACGCAGAAACAAAGGCTTCTTCGCCACTGTCATTAGGTGACGTTTAGGATTAATGTAGGCGTTGTTTGTTTTGATGAACTTTTCCGGAAACCCTTTTTCACTTGGAATATCGACTGGAGGTCGGCTGGGACACTGATGTTCTTTTTTTGGAACAAATCAATGTTACTCTAAGTGTTGGGTACCTGATTATTACGTTTTGGTACTTCGTTGGCATGAACCTAATAAAATTTGTAGACTGCGCCTTAGACGTCAAGTTACTACCCAGTTCTCTTTATGAAACCATCATGAACACATCAAGAAAATGCATAGATTCATGGATTTCACTTATATAAATGAAATCAGCTTATGAATGAAAGCTGTTGAAGGGGTTCAAGTGTTTCGTTCTATTTAGGGCTCAGCAGCTGGATGTAGCTGCGCCCAACCTTAGTGAGTGATGTTGTCCCCAGTGAGACTGAAACCCAGTACACATTGTTTTAAAAATCAAAGCGTTACTCACTAGGTCATTGCAGAACGAGAACCGTCTCTTAAGTATCCAGCAGTATTGAAACATCCGCATAGGAACCCAACTATCAAGAGATATTCGACAATTCAACTCTATATACCAATGTGATCAGATTGTTTGAAACGTATAGCACAAATACATCACAGCACATTTGTTCAAATTCATAAAAGGTTTTTGAAGAGATTAAATGAACTTTTTGGCTTCAAGTGTAAAGTAGCATCTAAACTTCCAATATGTGAGAAATAGGTGCTTTCCATCATTTCTGTTTTCCCTATACAAAAGTTTAAGATTTCGTAATCTTTATGATCAGTAATTTCCCCCTTGTTTCAACCTCCTGAAATAATCAAATTTGAAGTTGGTATTTATCATGGACTGACATGAGTTAGAGGAAGACTGGAAACCTGTGAGCACTGCACAGCTATTTCGTCCAATTCTGCAACAGTGCACACCCAAGAACCCCCCTCACCAGGGATTGAACCCACAACCTTTAGGTTCCGTGGTCAATACGTTACCATTGCGTCACTGGGTTGAAATCCAGTGCTCTATATTTCCAACTTCTGTCAGTTCATGATATACCGTGACCATGGTTGGTATTCCTTTGATGTCAACCCCTTACTTGCTAGCATGCCTCTAATTTAAATAATTGATATTCTTCGTAATATTCCATTAATTCTTCTTTCTCTATCTCTTCAACGTGTTTGAGAGAGCTGCTATGATTGTGTACAAATAAAATCCATTTCACATTTAAAGAGGAATAAGTAAATGGCGTGGTCATAAGAAGTCCCCCAGGACTATTGCTATATTCAAGACTTGACTGCTGACCTCTTCAGTAAAATTACCGTCTATCAGAAATATGTTGATGATGTAACTGGCGTGTGTGACAAACTCGAAGACGCATCATATTTGCTAGACAAACTTAACACTGTACAAGGCAATCTACGTTTAACGTGTGAAGAAGAGAAAGACAACTGTCTACCGTTCTTGGAT